TGGCAGTGAAGGCTGTGATATTTATGCCTGTTTGCTTACTTAGCAGTACTACAGTACCTCAAAATATATATTTCCGCATCCTAAGAGGAAGTTTTGGTAATCTCTTCCCCTTTCTCCATACCAGGGGGAAAAAAATCAAACACAGCATCCTGAGCTCAATTATGGTGCCAAACTGCAGATTTATCCACAAAAGACTTATCATTGGTCTCTTAGTAAGACCATATGTGGTATCAACTCCTAGTGAAACCTGGAAAATAATGATAAGCAGGAAATCTGAGTGTAGCTATTCACAAGGGAGGAAAACTATTCTTGTGCAGCTATTGGGGAAAAGGAAAAATAATTATAGAGTGATCATGTTGTGCTTCACAGCAACTGTCTATAGCAAAACTCAGCAATGTGATTCTGGTCTTAAAATAGCCCTGTGAAGCACATCCTCTCTGTTTCAGCCATTTTAAAATTAATCCTAACACGATGTGAATGTTCTATAATTTCTAATAATATCTTTAACACTCTATATACAAAATGGCATTGCTTATTATCATATCCTTACCATTTGGGTCATTACAAAGGAAGAAAATCTCCTGTAAACTGCAACATACAGTAGGGCTGATCACTTTGATGGTATAGCCCTGCATTTGTTGCTTGCAGTGACATTGAAGTGCTTTTAGTTTGGTTTGGTTTGGTTTGTTTAGAAAATGAAAGCAAAGCATCAAGGTGGGAAGCAGAGCACAAGGGGGAAAGTTTGACTTGTAAGCCTGATCTGGCTTAGAGAAACCGCCAGGCCACTTCTCTGCAAGATCAACACCTGTAGAGAACATGTGTGTGTGTGCACATGTGTAAACTCCCAGGAGATGAATGCTTTGGAATAGAAGCTCCATTCAGTGCTTAGTGGTAACAGATGGGGTTCTTGGTGTTTTTCATTCCTATCCAATCTGAGAGAAGAGTAGTGCATGAACAGTTCCTCTGGATTAAGCCATTGTGTACACATATCAACTGTGAATGTTTCACTCCTCTTCTGCCTTCTCTATGCCTGAAAGAAGGAAAACAGTTGACCACTATTATCTGGCATTTACTGCCACCAGCTGAGCTTATACCTCAGCATTTAGCCTTATGCACAAACTGGGTAAAGTACTTGCCCAACTATCCACACAAACCATGAGATGCCGGGCTGCTCTGGATTTGGGGAAATTCTGCTTTCTCAGCCAAACCAGTTTCCAAGGTGAAGTAGTAGCTGAAGATTGGCATGGTTCCTTAGGTTGAAAATATTCAGTCTGTAGGGGTTTGCAGGCAGGACCCCCCGCCCCGTCCCCAAGGGCTTGTCACCACTGAGGTTCAGAATTTTAGTCTCAAGTTCATCAGTATTCATTATTTTTTGTGCAGTCTTCCAAAACAAACCAAAATAGAATTTTCGCCCATGTATACTTAGCTACAGTCAAGTATAATTATTCCATGTGTGGAGAAAGCCCTTTATATATAACAAACACAATCTATCATTAACATAGTTGTGTATAGAGAGATTCAAGCTCATAATTTTAAGAATTAATTCAAAGACTTGAAAGAATGGATGGCTTTGGGGTTTTTTTCATATTTGGCTTTTCCCCACATCCACATTTGTTTTACTCTCAAGTTCTTTCTGTTCCGAATACTTTAAGAATAACTTTCAAAAGAAAATGATGTGACCTGTCCTGTACGTATAACATTATTCTGTTTCTGCCTTACTTGGCTGGCAAAGCCTAGGTAGAAGATATTAGAATGGCACTCCTTGTTGAAGAGCTAAATAATAAGATATGAGGAAAGTTGGGCAACTTTTCCCCTAATGCAAATTCCATTTCCTTATGGACAGGTAACAGATAAAGAGAAAGAACTACATAGCTTTCTACATAGTATATAAAGCAAAATTAGGAATTATATTATCTACAAGCTGCATTAAGCTCACAAGGACTTTGGTACACCCAGTACTGAAATAAATGGTTCAAATATCACAACCCCAAAAGTCTCATGAAGTGTGAATCTTCCATTTAATGTTATTCTATACAAATATTTTGGGATCCAAAGTAACATAATGGAAAGCAAAAGGAAGAGCTCTTATAAAAACGATGGGCACGGACTACCTAGGTCCAGGAGCTAGGGTAGATGCAGCTCACAATACATGTGGAGCTGCTCATGTGGAGGATAAAGATAGACACAACTCTCTGAAAAAGACCCCCAAATTAACTAATGTTAGACACTGCTATACTTCAGTTCATTCAGACTATGGGACATAGCCATAGTTCAGGAGTCAGGCACATCATTTGCAAGTAAAATATTACAGGTTTGTGATTGGACGTCTTTCTGTAGGGGCCGGAAAAGCTTTAGTGTCATCAGTCTCAGTGTTAAATAGTCATGAACTAGATGACCTTGCTCTGTAGAATGCAGCTTCTTATATTATACAAGTAAGGATGTGTGGAAGACAATGTTTATCCTGCAAGTGTTGCTGTCATTGGCTCTGCATTTTTAAAGACAGTTAAATTCTTTATTTTTAAGCTGCTAACAAATACATAATGTAGCATCACCATCTACTATGAATACATTGCCTGTTAGGACTGAAAAGCAATTCAGTGCAGCTAAAACGTGAACAAATAAATCTCGTAAGAGACCTGCGAGGAGCAAAATGTGTCCAGAGGTACCAATTTGAGAGGAATGAGGGCATGTAGGGGAGATGAAACCATTTTAGGATGCTATAGACAAATATGATTATCCTTCAGAAGTACCTATATATCTTATGTAAAGGGAACCACAATAAATTCTCTTAAAACACATTCTAGTTGGTGCAGTTGCTGCTGTAGTTTAACCTTGAATAAATTCAAAAGCAGGTCTTAGAACTCTGTTGCAAACGTCTCTCCCACACTACTGACATTAAAAATAGTACCCAAGACACCTTCTCAGAGTAAAACCGCAACATTAACTGCCATGAAAAGAAGTACAAATCGAACATCTTAAGTCAAATTACTAACAAGAAAATACAATGAGGAGATAAGGTTCCACACAACATCCTCTGATATTATTGGCCCAACGCATTGCTGACTGACATGAATGATAAAATTGTTCCCTTCCTCATTACATTCCATATACAGGAACCAACTGGAATTGTGATAAGACAATACCCCCACCATATCTAAGGACATGGCAACTTAGGAGCGACCATTCATGTGGCATCAAATTGCATTGTCCTCCGCCCTAACAACACCACTCTCTTCAATGCGTATTTTAAGTAGCTGCTTCATTCTGTCTAATGGCAGGACAAGATATACTCAGATAGTTTGAGTATAGAGGAGCCCCCAGAATGGGTATCAATTTGGCAGATTCCCCAATCCAAATTTATTTGAGCCTCAGAGGCCCAATTCTGATCAGAAAACCCAAATATGCAGCCTGACTATTCTGACATCACTACCTCCTAGTCTCTTCCTACTAACATATTTCTACTTATTAGTAGTAGCCAAAATGTCAGGTGAATACTTCCCAACAAACTTGAAACAAAAAGCAAACTTGTACTCTTTAAAAGCAAACAAATAAAAAGTCAACTAATGAAACCTTAAATTTAATCACACTGCTGGGTTCAGCACAGTTTTTGTTCTCCCGAGGGCTACAATAAAAGAGGATAAACAGAATAAGACCGCTAAATGGATTGATATTGCATTACTGTCAGGTAAGACTATGGATGCTGCTGGTGTGATCTAGTAAATCTATATTCAGCCTGCTATATATTAGCCAGGCTGCTCAAATATGCTCTTATAAGCTCTAATTAAAGTTAACTTCAGCAATCAGGTCTTCCTTACTGGTTGAAATGTTTTCCTTTTTTCCTTAAAGCCTCACTAACAAATAAATCAAAGTCATAATGCAACATACCAGCAATACTGAAACTATTACAGATGCAGAGAAAACACATGGAGGACAGAGCACTCTGCTAAATTGCATCCAAAGGCCTTCTAGTTCCTCCTTACAGTGTGGATTTTTTTTTTTTTTTGCAATGAATGAAAATTGAACAAAAAGCAATACACCAAGGAAGAAATGATTGGACATCCAGAACTTCTATTCGTTCAAGGACGGAGAACCCGCTTATATTCTCATTGGTGACCAACCAAGGAATAATGAGATGAATCACAGAAAGATAGGTTAATCAAGGGATACAATATTTGACCTTCAACCTATTTAACTTGTCTTGATCGTTGAAAAGAGCAAGAGGGGAAAGCAACCTGATTTATGCCCAGCTGAAGCCAGATATTAAATCTTGACAACCCCTTCAGTCTTTCCATATTCAAAATACCTAAGCCCTGAGAGAAATCTAACAATTGACTTGCTCCGTGGCCAGCCCTTTACTGGAAGATAGACCCAGGGAAATCCAACCCAAGTCCCAGGACTTTATAAATTAGAGCAAATCCCTCAGGTCGACTCAAGGAGAGACTCCTTCCCCATTTCCCAGACTCAGAACCATAAGTGGTGGTTCCAGAACACTACCCTTCACAAATAGGGTGTCAAGGTGCACACCCAACTCTTACATTTTCTTTCTACCTGCTAGTGATGGCCTATTCACAGGCACCATCCTTAACAAATCACCAAAGCCCCTGAGATATAGTACAGAGAGGCAAAAATCCCCAGGTAAAGGGGATAAAATTCCTGCTCAGTTCTAAGTGAGCACCCAAAACTTATACCACATTATTTGGGTGGGTGCACTTTGAAGTGACAATCCAGAGATGGCAAGGGACAAATCTTTAAAAGTCTCTGACTCTGCATATCATTACTTACCTCGAAAATCAGACAATTCAGAAAGAGAGAGGATGAGGAGAAATAACAAGAACAATACTAATTTCAATTATTATCTAATTAATTCAATTTCCAAGCATGTATTCAACTTGCCTTTTAGAAAAATTTCCCCTTCATTTTGGACTTACACAGAATCAAGTTTTTTCCACTTAGAAGTATTTATATTTTTCCAGATCACATTTCTTATGAATGAAAGCTACCTTTCGGGTCATTCAGGATGGAACCAAAGGCACTGATCACCACATTTGCTTTCAAACGGACAACTTGATCCTGATCTTCTTTCCAGTGTCCATCTTCATCTTGCTCAGTCCGAACAAATTCCATAGCAACAATCTTCCCTCCTTTCACAATAACCTTCCAAGGAGAAAGGAAAGGCAGGAATTCACACTTTTCTTCCTTTGCAAGGTCCATCTGGAGGAGTGAGAAAATATCATGTTACAAGATTTCAGTTAATGATTGTTGGCTGTAATCTGATTTGTAGCTTACTCTATATCTGCATCGGAATGATACGGATGGTGAGGGATGCAAATTCTAAGATCTTAAGCAGCCTGATTTATGATGAAGGATCATGGGAATTATATTTCAGCATCATCTGGAGGTCTATACCACTGTTATTCCTGCATTAGATTCCAGTATTAGAAAAAGTTATGAACAAAGTTGCAGTAATGTTTAAAAGTTTAAAAACGATTAAAAATTGGATCAAACTGTATTTTAGGGTTGGAAAGAATATTTGAAAATATTGGAGAAACTGTTAAAATGTGTTTCTTCAATATAGGCAGTCTCTTGAGTTACAAACATCCAACTTACAAATGACTCATAGTTAAGAATGGTGGTGAGATAACAGAAAGTGAGAGAAATCTACCCCTAGGAAGGGAAATTCACTCCTGAAAGAGTTATCATGGGGAAACCCATCTCCATGGAAGCTTTATTACCCATCCTTGTTTCCACAACAAGCCAAATTATCAAAATTATTTCAAAAGTGGGGTAAAATTTTCTGAACTGAGACACAGATAGCAAAACAAGCACTCCAGGGATGTTAACTCTTCCCTATGCTGTCCAAAGCAAAAAAAAAAAAAAAGTTTGGCTGGAGTTACACTTAAATAATGCATGTGTTCTGACTTACATATACAGTCAACTTAAGAACAAACCATCAGACCTTATCTTGTTCATAACTTGGGGACTCCCTATACTGGAAACTAAACAAGGGGAATCCTGGAACAAAGTAAACCTTTGTAGCTTAAGATATACCCTGTGCAAAGTGTGCTCGTGGTATTTTTGTATATATACAACATTATCTATGCAGGACTCTGTATTTTCCATGCAAAAAGTGCTGTTTGCTGCTATATAAACATCTCTCATGGAATTTTTTTTCTACTGAATAGGTCCCTAGCGATGTCACTTGCTACACAAGAAGGAGTATATTTACTATGAAATTACTGTAATATGGTTATGATTTTGTGTGTGTGGACAAAATGTTGCTTGTTCATAAAATGCTGTTTTCTGTGCAAAAATACCATATGTGATATTTGCACAGAAGAAGTGCTGAGCAACAAATAGTCTTTGCAAACTGCATGATTTTCAAAAACATTTTAAATGATAGAAAAATTACTGAAGTTATTAATTGACCCATTTTAAGCCCCAACTGGTTTATCTTTATCAAAGGCTTATAGTAGGCTCCCTCTTTGAAATTTATAATTGTTAGCAGTCGATGAGCTCCCTGATATGTTGCAAATATAGTAGGTATGAGCAAAACCAATGGAACATCAGCTGAAGTCTCCTTCTCCTCTAGGATTTCTCAGATGACAACTTAACTCCACCATGGAACTGGTGGAAGAAAAGATTAAAGCTATATATGGCATTTCTATGAAGGAGAAAGAAGTATTTGTATTATCTATGGAGCCACTCATGCAAGGAGGAGGCAACAGGGAATTTATACATTTGTTTTATCTCTTTGGAGGAACAAGGCATAGAGGTGTGTGCATTACTCTCAGTTGAGCAAAGAGTCTAACTTTACAGCTGCCCTGGGAGTAGTAGACAACGGCTGTTCTACCAAAGAAAACAAAAACACTGAAATACTTTTTATAAATTGAAAATAATCAAGAGAAAAATGTAGTGGCTGTTATATAATTGTCTTGTGTATACTAGCAACTCTATGCAATTTGGCACTGGTAAATTTGGGACTACAGGCACTTATAGCCACAGCTCAACAGCGTTGATATATGTATCATATGTATATATGTATACATATGATATGTATATGTATATATATTCTTTGTAATCTGGGTATATGGGTATATGTATATATACTCTTTGTAATCTTCATATACACACAAATAATAATGTATTTCTGCTGGATATATACATTCTTTAAACAAGAGCTTTCGAAACATTACATGTTGGTGAACACCTTTTAGACACGACACAATAATTCAGTTTTTTTTATTTACTTTATTTTATATCCCACCCAAGAGACTCAGAGCAACTTTCACTAGCAAACTGGGGGGGTTAAACTAAGCCCTTATAAGAGAAACAGACACATAAATAACTTGCTATGACAAAATGGGCCAACGACATATCTCATGAAAACCTTTCATTTATATTTTTAAAAATATATGATTTGTAAGATGATGACATTTCCAAGATATTTGTCATTTATAAATAACAATTATAAATATATACGAATTTTACAAATTGTATTTGTTGTTCATTCGTTCAGTCGTCTCCCACTCTTCATGACCTCATGGGACCAGCCCACGCCAGAGCTTCCTGTCGGCCGTCACCACCCCCAGCTCCTTCAAGGTCAGTCCAGTCACTTCAAGGATGCCATCCATCCATCTTGCCCTTGGTCGGCCCCTCTTCCTTTTGCCTTCCACTTTCCCCAGCATAATTGTCTTCTCTAGGCTTTCCTGTCTCCTCATGATGTGGCCAAAGTACTTCAACTTTGTCTCTAGTATCCTTCCCTCCAGTGAGCAGTCGGGCTTTATTTCCTGGAGGATGGACTGGTTGGATCTTCTCGCAGTCCAAGGCACTCTCAGAACTTTCCTCCAACACCACAGTTCAAAGGCATCTATCTTCCTTCGCTCAGCCTTCCCTAAGGTCCAGCTCTCACTTCTGTAGGTTACTACAGGGAATACCATGGCTTTGACTATGCGGATCTTTGTATAGTGCTAATAAAATAAAAATTGTATAGTGCCAATAAAATAACTACTTACAATTTAAATGAGATATATGAATGGGTGGATAAGTCATGAGTTTGTTGTTCATTCATTCAGTCGTTTCCGACTCTTTGTGACTTTATGAGTTTATGGTCTACAAATTCTGCCCCTCAAAATTCCCCTGGAGGATTTGCCTGAGTTAAAAAATGACTTGGAGGCCACCAATCAGAGTGTGTGCAAGCCAAACACTCGGTTGAAACATATTCCTCTATACTGCCTCCATTATATCCAATGTGAGCCCCCTCTGGGGCCACCTCTAGCTGCTGCTTTAGCACACACAACAGACTCCACAGACACCTGAGGTGTGAAAACTAAGCCCATGATGGAAATGGGGCACAAAGAGTAGTGGATTCATTTTTTTCCCAGATGGGAAGGCAGATTTCAGGCTTGCCTAACCTGGGCAGCCCTCCCCAGTAAAATCAACAGCAAAGGGAGGGATGGGTGGAGGGCACACAGTCCAGACCATTGAAGGAGATGATCTGGCTGAATCTGTTTCAGCATTCAAAATTCCTAGTGTGTTTCACCTGGTGGGATGGTGGCACACATGGGAGGGCAAGCCCACAACCAAAGGAGGCAAAGCGCAGGATTGGGAGGTAAGAAGGAATGGAAGAGACACTGAGTTGAATTGAGCAGGAATGTGCAAGTGGAAAAACATGGCACTTTACTTGGTCCACACTGCTCCTAAGATGAGGTGCAATACATTTACATACTTCAGCCAAAACACTAACATGTTATAACACAAAGTTAGGAAAGGTCTGTTTTAAAGCAATACCTTAAGTGGATGGTAGATGATGGTATCATCCATGATAATGAAAGTTTTTTTTTATTTCTGAAAGCTCTGGTTCTACTACATTACTAATTCAAGACTCTTAAAATATTATTTTATTAGTGTCATGTCAGTCAGTGATATTTGAAGCTACAAAAGAGCCACTATAAGATTTCATATTATATCAGTCCTTTGAGTTGGTATCTTAAACTGAAGTTCTTATTTCCACAAGAAGCCAAACTTTTCAAAATCCGATAATCACAGGGACAGAAATTAGGTGAAAAACAAACATCACAGGGATGTGAACCCTTCTCTATACTATCCAAAGTGTGTGTGTGGAATTATATTTAAAATGTACTTGTTCTGACTTACAAACCAATTCAACTTAAGAACAAACTTACAGAACCTATCTTGTGCATAACTTGGGGACCTCCTGTATCTATTTTAGTTGGAACATAGGGTGTCATTGATGTCAATTATTCAATAATTCATTATCTATAACCTAATAATTACAATAAAGCAAGCCCACCACCATCCATAAATTAAAGCTTTCATAATAAAATAAATATACATTTGGGCACATTTATTTTTAATTCAAGAATTATGTCATAAAGAAGTGTAAAATTCAAGTGACTACATTACTTCAAGAGACACACACCATACTGGATCCTTTTGAAGTATGGGTTGAATAAAAGGCTCAAGCATTTTAAGTAGAATGACACATAAATTGTTACTGGGCAGTTAATCCATAGCTAGGGGAAAACTAAAATAAAAGGTCAGAAAACATATAATCACAGCTCTCATTAATCTAATTTCTAAATGCAGCGACAGTGTATGTCCAAATGATAATTCAAACAAACAGCAAACAAAAACACAGTGAAAGGTGCCTGAATTTCTGGGAGTACCCATGCTTCCTGATTAGAAAGCCAATGGTCCAATCTGTGAAATGATCAGCTAAAGGATATTAAATATGAGAACTGGGATCTTGGTCAAGGCCATGAAAGTTATCCCATAACTCAGCTTCACTAGCCTGGATCAAAATAAGGATAATGTCGCATATTTTTAAGACCACCTAAACAGCTGGCAGCAATGTTTTATTTCTAGTGTCCAGTACAAAATTATTAACAATGACAAGGTTAAACCAATTAAGGGTAAGACAGTTTTATTATTTTCCAGTGTCTTCCTGAGGGGAAATGTTTTCACTGTTGTATAATTTTAAGCTGCATGAAAGTTTTCTGGCAACAGAAAACTCTCCCCATCAATGACATGAACTCAGTGTGAATTAAATAAAAATGCCAGACACTCATTCATTTTAGTGTTTCAGGGCCAATTCCAAAATGGATTAAATTAAGTGTTTACCATGGCTGAAAGAATACAAAGAACCCATCATGCTAAAAGTGCTGTCACTCCTATTGTGCATACAATACACGAAAAAACCCAAGAAGGGCCACGAAGAGTAACATTGCACTGAGGAAAGCAACGAAAGATGTGTTGCACGAGGATCCTTCCTCTGGTCTAACACAGCATATTAGGACCAAACTACACATTACATGCAGCTGGAGATAGCCTTCCTTTGATTCTTTATTCACTGGGTTTTTTTACAAAAGAAAAGTGGTCATGGTTCTTTTTACAAAAGAAAAGTGGTAAACGGAAACATTTTTTTTCATTACTCAAAGATTTTGGGATTTTACTTTGATGTTATTTACGCTTATATATACCATATTTCCTCAATTGTAAGAAGGCATAGATTGTAAGACACACCTTAATTTCAGTGCCATGACCAGCAACAAAAATACATAAAGTACACCTGCGATTCTAAAATGCACTCAATTTTAGATATGTTCATATAGGAAAAAACTGTGTCTTAGAATTGAAGAAATGCAGTATATTGATTATATCTATTGTCCATCTGATCTGCATTGTGTTTGCATTTTATGTTTATGATTTATTTTGCAATTGCATTGTACGGTTTTGAAATTTGTTGTTCCTCCTTTCTTCACATGCACACACATACACATATTACATTGCACGCCTCTGTTTGTTTTATTGTAAAGTGTTATTTACACTTGATGGAGCTATATATATAAATGATATGATGACAATGATGACAACAATAACAATGTGTTTAATTTCCATTTTCACCAAAAATCATTCTGTTCAAACTTTGCCTTCCCTCTCTCCCCTCTACAGTTATTTTTTTTCCTCTAGTAGGAAAAAAAAGATTAAAGTTCTAGATTAGGGGTGAGGAAAAGTGTGGCCTGCAAACTGAATGCAACCCAAAACCTTTTCTGAAATTCCCTCTGAAGTCCATAGACTCCTAATTTTTAAAATAGTCAGGTGCAAATTCATCCTCCAAAAGACAAAAAAAAAGTGCACCAATGGTAGTGGAGGAGATTCATTTACTTGCCACTTCCCATGAAAACTCATCAGAGTCACCAAAACTTATTTATTTATTTATTTATTTATTTATTTACAGCATTTTTACCCCACCCTTCTCAACACGTGGGGGGACGGGACTCAGAGCGACTAACAAAGACAGCAATTTGATGCCACAATCAATAACACAGTATAAAACCATAAATACATACAGAGTTAAAACAATAGCAATTAATTATAACGAAATTATCATAACAGTCATTAAACAATACTCAGTCCACAAATCCACTGATAGAACCATAAAACTGTATCCTCATACATATTGTCTTGCCAATCAATTTCCAGTCAAAGTGCTGCTTTATGTTTATTGTTCAAAAGCCTGGTCCCAAAACCAAGATTTTTTTTTCAACTAAGGGTGAAGCAATCTAACATAAATTTATCCCTGTGGAGGTATAAAAATGTACCTTTCCACCAGTATGGTTTTATGCTCAGAAATATGGTCTTTCATCCATCTTAACCTTAATTGGTGTCTGAAACTCTTTCCTCAGTCATTGAAAGGCCATGTGTTAGGAAAGGAAGTTCTACCAGATCAGACCCCTAGACACTGATAGACAACTGCTATTCTCAGCAAATATCTTATGTGTCTCAGGCCATGTAATCCAGTATCTCACTGCCATGTAATCCAGTATGTAAGATTATTTGCTTTGAACTGAATTATCCTGGCCAAGTGTTTCTTCTTTTTAGAAAAAGGAGTGTTGTGGTGGAAAATGCAAGCTCCAAGTGAAACAAGTGGTCTAGGGGGATAAAGTTGAAGTTGCAACTTCTTCTACTCACCCACCTAACTACCACATATTGCAAACTCTCAAGACTACTCTTTGTTTTGTTACTCGGATTCAAAGAATGCTACACATGGCTGGGTGTGATGTGCAGAGTTTGACCGTGAACAATAGCCATAAATCAGTATTTCATACGTATTTAGGATTAGTACTTCCATTGTTTCAGTTACTTGAAATTTACCTCTTCAGGGACAGCCCGTATATTAGTAAATCCCTTTCGGAAGACCACAAAAATTCGGCGAGCACCACATCGCAAAGCTGACGTTGCACAGTCGAAAGCAGTGTCACCTGCTCCAAGAACAATCACTGTTCCCTGTATCGATGGCAGTGGAGAGCGACAGGCACACATTCCTGAATGATAAAAGGAAAACCCCATTTTCAAGGAGAAGGGGAAAAAAAACTATTTCTGCATGACAGCTCAAACGACACTTGTACTCGAAGCAGTGTAAAATTGCATCTTGCAGTTTCCGAGCATGGAGAGTCACTATCAAATTATTCTGCTTCATTGAAAGACAGTTTTATCCCCACTTTTAAGATATGCTCGTACATGTAATTTCATAGTCAGTACCTTTAGCAGCATTGCCTTCCTGTCTTGGAAGGAAATAAAGTACAATGCACAGAGAAAGAGAAAAATTGTAGGGCCTTGTCAGATTGAGTGCAACTACTTTAAGTTCCTGGTATTCAAAAAATTAAACCTTTGACTCCTTTTTGGAGGCTTAAATATTCTTTGAGAAAGAGAAGGGCAAGCGAGAAAAGCCGTGTTTCTTGAAAATCTGTGTACAGTGACAGACTGCATAGACAAATGAATCCTGATCCAATTCCAGATATCTCTAGTTAAATGAGATTAAATATGAGAACTGAAAAACCACTGATGGTTACAGATGACAGTAATGACTTGCTGGAGCACTGCCTCCTCTCAGTGCTATCTAAAGGTCTGTTCTTGTGTTATGGTACCCGCAGGTGAATCTATGAGAGTATTTTCATGACAAGTTATATTCAGAAGGAGTGTGTCTTTGTCTTCCTTGATGACAAGAGATGTGATTTAACTGGGGGTGCTTCCAGAGAGCATCAAATCACAGGTTTAAAAGGCAAAAAACCCCAAAAAACAACAACTCGGGACCTGAGAACAGGTCCTCACACAGAGCTGTAGATCGTGGGATTTTGTGCCCATGATGTCCGGATTTGCTGCTTTGTTCTGGGATGTATAAGCCCGCAAGATGGCTGCCACAGGACCTCTGCCAGAAATTTCAGCGGCTTTTTAAAAAATGTGCTGATGCAAATATGCTCATTTTTCGTTATTAGTTTTGTCCCTGGGTTATACATGTTGCTTCGTCATTTGTTCTACCATAAATACCTGTTGAAAGTTGAAAACTTTGTCATGGCAAGAGGCACATTGATCGCCACCCACCCATTTATCAAAGTTTGTGAACAACAAACAAAAATTTTGCCATGCAATCAACTTTCCCCATGTTTTTACAATAGAAGCAATGACGAACCAACATTTATAACCCAGGAACAAACCAGCATTAAAAAAAATGTATTTTCTGAGTGCAGGCACATTCGAAGATCCGAATCTTTTGGCCAGAACCAGCATATTCCTGAACTTTTTTATCTCACAGTTTTTCAGCTTTGTAGTGATTCTTCCCGCATATTCAGTTGATGTTGTCTAGCCACCCTCCATTTTGAACTGGGAGCTCCTGGGATAATGGTACTGTGTTGATGGGCCCTGAGGTTACTAAGTGGCTTTCCATAGCTGACTGGGGATCCATATCCTGGCCTCTGGAGTCATAGTCATAATTATACCACACTGGCTCTTAGAATCTTTCTTAAAAGTAAGAAGTTACAAATCACCAGTCACTTGTAATGAAACTTCCTAGTTAACAAATGTACCTTACATGACATTATTTTACTAAGGTGGATGTGGTTTTATTAAATGGTGAAATATCACTGAGTTCAGGTGCTTCTACTTTGTGCTTTGTTTTGGACATGGGTTGACAAAAGTCAGCTAGCAACAAAACATGTTTTGTTCCATTGGCCACACATTGCTGAATTCAAATACAAGTTTTCTTTAAAAAAAAAAAGCTAAAATTATTTTTAAAAGCAAGGAGTGTTTTTTTTAATGTATTGCAACAAAAGATGCCCTAGGTTTTTTAGAACATAACTCTATATAATGACTTCTCAAAAGTTGTCCCTCCATATTTATGGATTCTTCATCCAGGACTCAACCATAAGTGGCTCAAAAATATTTGGAAATAAAGTTACAAAAAGTAAACATTGATTTTGCCATGCACCAAGCACTATGCTAATGTATAGGCATACCCTGCTGTGCTCTACCACCATTACATAGATCTTCAGGTGTTTTCTGGCACTCATTTGAGTTGTTTGCCATTTTATATAAGGGACACCATTGTCTATAATGGGATTTGAGCATCCACAGATTTTTGTATCCATTTGGGATCTTGGAACCAAACCCCAGAGGATAGTGAGGGGCGAATGTAAATTACTTTAAAATAGTAATAAATACATTACTTTTTAAAATGTAACTATCAAAGCTGTAATGCTGCAGTGTTGAATAAATGGTTCAAAAAGTGAGGTTCACTACAGCCATGTAATGGCAGTGGTTTCTGACTGGGCAATGATTGTTGGATCAGAAAGAATGGTTGTGATTCTGGGTGTGAAACAAACTCCCACTATTAGACCCAACAATCAAGAACTCCATCAATAATAAGGTTCACACTAGCAAACCCCACAGTAAAGAATGCAAATCAGGGTCATGGACACAGAACCACTGACAATGATTTATAGGCATTACACTGAAATATATGAGAGTGACTCTAGAATAGGCACATGAACATGGGAGTTTGATAGTCACTTGAGTAGTTTTGAGGTCACTTTGTTCTCAGAGTGCAGATAAAGAAATATTTTTATATCAATTTTGCATTTTCCCCCAGTTTTTAAAATTCTAAAATGAGAATAATATATTTGACTTGATACAACACCAACAAATGAGTATCCAGTATTGAGAAAAACCAACAAATGTTCAAAAAGCACATAATCCATACAATGTGATGCAGTTTAACAACAGGTAGAATGTAACTAACCATGGATTAAACAAATCACTGTAATTTTTAAAATGATACTATAAATAGCATAAACCTATAATCTGTAGGGTTTGTCATCGTTTCACACAGAAGTGTATGCTTTTCAACCATATCATCAATGGTCTATAATTCTTAACTTTTTGCTGTGCCAGTCCTGAATTTTCACAGCAAGGGTATAGAACCACAAGTATCAATTTCTTTGAAGAACAAAAAACTTTAAACACAAGTCTGTGAATATTATTTGTTTGGAGAAAAATTACTGTTACACACATAGTATAAAGAAACCTTTCCTCAATACAACACAGCATATAGCCAATTATTTCTCCACATTGATACTGCATGGGATTTCTTTTTCAGGGTTGATCAAAATGTTCATAAATTTTGTTGGAAGTGGAAGGATATATTTCCTAAATCTAGCTACATGTTGAAAGAATCCCTTTTGTTTAGCTGAAGCGCTTTATTGCTATAGTTTCCTTGAATATTTGTTGTTTCAATGTCCTTCATTTGGGTTGATGTTACAATGTTATATGGACAACCCCTACTACTTAGTCAATGCTATCAAGAATAAAAACACAATGAGACACAGCTTTAGATTTGTGCTGGTTACGTTAGGATTAGGGACGAGGCGTGTCCCAAAAAGGGTTAAGATTTCTTGACATTAAGGTATCATTTCCCCGTAACATTTCCTTTCAGAGCAGAGATGCAACCTTACAGAAGGAGATGTTTCTCTCCTATGGCTATTTCATAAGAATCAAAGTGTAGGAAACAAACAAATGCCCTTTTAGATCTCATTCATCTGCAGTGAATAATGATCACCATTAATTGGCTACTACCATCTAAAAGGATGACAGTTATCCAAATGCCCTTAAAGTGGAGCTATCTGGATCATCAAGCATACAAAGAATATTATTTATTATTTATTTATTTGATGCACTTATTAACCGCCATTCTCAGCCCTTACGGGCGACTCATGGCGGTGTACAGTACACATAAAAAGACAGTTACAAAAGCCAATATCCACGATACACACAATACAACAAATACAAAACTACATAAAAATCCGCTTCGTCTCTTAGTAGAATCGTAGGCCAGTCTCCTCGTCCTTATACCATTCCAATTCTCATTACCGTAATGACATTGCTAGCACTTAATTAAATGCCCTCTCGAACAGCCAGGTCTTAAGGCTTTTTCGAAAGGACATGAGGGAGGGCGCCTGTCTAATGTGTGCCGGGAGAGTGTTCCACAGCCGGGGGGCCACCACCGAGAAGGCCCTCTCCCTCGTCCCCGCCAGCCGTGCCTGTGATGCAGGTGGGATCGAGAGAAGGGCCTCCCCAGACGATCTCAAGGTCCTCGTGGGCTCGTAGGCCAAGATGCGGTCAGCAAGGTATTTTGGGCCGGAACCGTTTAGGGCTTTAAAGGCCAAAACCAGCACCTTGAATTGGGAATTGATAATATATCGCTGAATATGAGACCATTTTTATAAATCCATGAATGGGAATATGCATATTCTAGAAGGGCCATGGCTTTATTTTCCCTCCTCTGAGTGAGATAGTAAGCATAGTCCATAAGTTGGCTTCACGCTGTTTTCTGTTGTTCCTGTGCATACTTATAACATCTGTAGGGAAATCTTATGGAATGATCTCTTATAGAGTATACTAGCTTCAAAATAAACATAAATGTCTTTTTTTAAAGGATATTTCAAAGTATGCTTTACCTATCAACTTTTGTATTGTGGAAGGTGTTGATTCTAAATATTATGATTCCTCTAGTTTCTGTACATTTGAAATATCATACTGCTTTTTTAAACAAATTGACATTATTTTTCTAGTGTACTGTTTTGTATAACACTTTATGCACATGAAAATTTAGTATACAAATATTTCACATATCATTTTTTAAAAAAGATAAATTCAAATTAATACAAAGGAAGCAGGGGACTACCTGATTTACTTGCCATAGCCACCATGGGCAGGAAATCTTTAGATGTGTAAAATCCTTCATCGATTCCCAGACCTTGAAATACAGGTTCTCTCTTAGGTTCTGGAAGACCTAACACAAAAATTGAAATGATGAGTGAGTTTTCTGTGGATATCAAGTATAGTAAGAAAAAAAAACAGATAGGAAGATATCTTCATCCTGTCACAATTGAATTTACTTATTATTTTTAGAGCAGAGAAAACAGCAAAACATCAATGTATTTTGATAGAGTTTTTGCAATTTTCACATGTAAGAATAAATATATGTATAGTACTTTAGAGTGTTCAAAGTATGCCATGTATATTCCTGACAATCCTGTAAAGGAAACTGTTGCTGTTGTTGTTATCTGAGCAGACAAATGGTTGAAGGAGACGATGAACTACAAATGAGGAAAAAAATGACTTTATAGCAGATGGAAGATTTCAGCAGAGAACTTCTGTATTCATAGATTGTCAAAAAAGTAAATCATTTTGGAATCTATATGCATTTTATAAGTGATTTGTAAAAGGACCTCTTCTTTTGATCACACACATTTCAGCACAAATATAACCTTACAAAATTGGGCCCATCTCTAGTTGTTAACAGTTTTGTGCACATTCAAAAATATCTACAAGGTGAGATCTTAAGTGAGATAGGAAAAGAGCTGGCAATAGGAAATCTATCTGTTAATTATTCTGGCAGTTTCTCCTACTTTTGTGATAAATACTGGAGAGTTGCTATTATTTCACCCACAGGTAACCATTATATTTACCAATCCCCATGTCCACATAATAGTCTTTTTGTAAATTAAAAGTCTCTTCTATCACTTTACTACATAGAGGTGTACACCAAGGACCATTTAAATTGAACCAGAGTTTTTAACTGGTAGAGTTAAGACATGAAATATTTCGCAAGAATGAAGGAACCTGGAAGATACTTGGATCTCAAGCCAGCAGGGTACACATACTTGGATGCCTGCCACATATTTTGCCAAGAGCAATCCCTTCAATCATACTAGCAAGGCAAAAGATGTAAACCTCTGCAATCTATGAAAACAAATATTTGTCACAATAACTTGGCTGTCCTTGAGCATGGGGAATGGAAAAGTGAAAAATAAAGACTGTTCCATTTTTCATTTCATGTTTGATTAGATTTCTTGGTCCAAGCATGTCTTAGGGCCCTTCTACACAGCCCTAAAACTTGGGCTAAAAACAGATTAGCCAAAGGATGTTTCAGGCTAATCCATTTCACCCTGGAATAAAACTAATTTACTCAGTTTAATCCAGGTCTAAAAAAACACCTCTAAAAGTTTGTAAGGTTCAGATCTTTAAAGGTGAGGGACCTGGGCTCAGTAAACACAGCCATCCCACTTCCTCAGGATCTCAAAAGTCCAGAAGAGAAGGATGGCACTGCCGCTACCCTCCCAGCCCCCTATTCCCTCCTCAAAACTTACCAGAGGGACCTGCCAGCCATGCAGACACCTCTGCAGAGCTTTGTAGTCTCAAAATAATATTCGGGAGGAGAGGGAGAATTCCTCCCCCCCCCCTCCTGAAACATTATTCTGATGTGACTACAAAACTCTCCAGAGGAGCCTGCGTGGCTGGCAGCAGGCCTCTCATGTAAGTTTTGCGGAAGGGAATAAGTATAGTAAAAGGAGATGAGTATCATTTATTTTGGAAAGTTCCACAGCAAATGCTTTGAACGTCCAATCTTTAATACTAATCAGCAGTGCTCAATTATTTTCCTCAAAATTGTCCATAACTACAAGCATAAGGGTGCCTACTGTCTAGCCATATTACCACACCAGGGCTTTAAAGTGTGTAGTCCCACATTTCTGCCACCTGTAGTTTTCTGGAAAATGTTGTTTACGGTGGGGCCCTGAATTCTCAGCTACAGAGGTCCTCACCTTCCCAAACTACATTTCCCAAAATTCTGCATGTGGAAGAAATGTGGGGCTGCCCACTTCAAAGCCTGAGTGTGATAACATAGTAAAGTAAGTGTAGGCTTAACTCCACATACGAGACCTTGTGCAACTTGGGTCTCAAATCACAAGAAACCCGTTTTATGTACAATGCAACTTTTCATTATAGGCAACTTGGTAGAGGCGTTCTTTTTTGCTTTCCAAAGGAATGTTCCAGTGTTTACATGTTGAGTCAGCTATAGGCTATGCTCTGCTTCTGACCCTTAATATTTACTCCTTGTGAATTGTTTTGTACTCTTTTGTACACATCACTTTTTAAAAATCATAGGAGATTCCAAAAAATATAAAAGATGCACCCTCACTTCTACTCCGCATTAATCTGAGAGGAGGGAAAAGTTACACTCCCTCTTCCTCAGATCAGCTGCTTATTTCCCAGCAAAAGGGAAATTGTAGTAATTCAATCTTATTTCTAGGGAAATGTGGTTTCTCAGCATTATCAGCATGTGTGTGTGTGCAGAAAGCAGAGGTGGATCTGACTAGACTTGTTAACACAGAGTATTAGTAAGCCCTGGAGGAAAGCAATTCTAGAGGGGGAAAGACTTATTAATAAATTAAGAAGAAAATAAAAATGATGGTTTTTAAATGGCAAAGCCATTAAGCAGTTCTTTTAAATCAGTTTTTAACAAGGAAAAATAAGCAGATGTAACTGTGTACAATTAAGAAAGTAATGGACCAGATCCTGAGTTGCAGTTAAGGGTTCTTCAGCACAGCTTCTGGGAGGAGCTCTTGAGGTGTCTTGTACTTTATCACACAGCTGGTAAATGAAGAGTTTTTTTTTTACCTTCTCCTAATTTCCAAACATTACTGTCAACTGAGAACTAGCCTCTCAAATTGCTAAACCTTTCACTGACACTCATGCTATGAGAGCCATTAGCACATCTTGCTCAATTTGGAGATAAAACCCTTGGATTAAGGAATGTTTGTTTCAAATGAAGTAGGACCCCTTCTACACTGCCAGATAATCCATGTTATCAAAGCAGAAAATCCACATTATCTGATTTGAATAGGATTGTTTTAGGGTCCATCCAGACAGGCCCCAAAATGCGGGGCTTTTTGGGCTTTTACCTGAGGCATCCAAATTATGCCTCAAGTAAAAGTGAATTTATTTGGGATAAAGCAGGTAAATCCTGCTTTGTCTTGAATTAATTAAATAACCCATTAGATCTGGGCCTTTCTTAAAGGTCTGGCTATAATGAGGTATTGGACTTGTGGAGACTGACTCCTAGGTAGGCCTGTGACTACTCAGGGGTTAGTCCCCAAAGGCCTCTCAGTTTTTTGGGCTCCATGAGTCTGGAGAAGTGAGAGGAACCCCCCCCCCTCCCCCAAAAAAAGTCTTTAAATTTAAAAGAAAATTTGTCAGGTGGCCATTATGTTGCTCTGACAGTCTTCCTGGTGCATAAAAATGATGCAGGAGGTGGGAGGGAGGAGTAAAATAGGGTAGTGTGGGGATTAAAACCCATGACAAAGCCAGATTCTTTTTTTTTTGAAAATATTGTATTAATTATTTATTACAAAGAATCTAATATACCATTAGAAAATATAAATTCAAAATCAAAGCAAGTTTCTTAAACCTGCTTCGGCATGGGTTTAAGCCCTGTCTAGAGGTGCCCCAGTCTATGCTGCCATTCAGTTCAAAGCTGGATTCAGTTCAAAGCAGTGAATTTTATACAGCTGTATAGAAAGGGCCTGGGTGAAAAGAGACATAGTATTGATAGTGATAGTGATTATGAACAGTGTAACTTTTGTTTGCTAAAAAAATAACAATAAGAACACATATAGTCAGTACTCTGTATCCATGGATTCTGCATCCATGATTCCAACCAGCTATGGCTTGAAAATACCCTAGAAAACAAACCATGCATTTTGGGGTAATTTGCCATTTTATATGTAAGATACCATTTTACTAGGTCATTGTATATAATGGAATAGCCATGGATTTGGGTATCCATGAAGGTGGGGGAGGTACTGGGACCAAACCCTAGAAGATCTCAAGGGCCCATTCTACATCAAAGTTCTATTTTAAAACAGCACTTAATTAATGCTAATGTTAGGGAGAGAAAAAGAGGATAGCAAAGAAATATTTAAATAAAAGATGAAAACTGCACATTAATATAAAAAGAATGATCTTGCAGAAAGGGTTAAGTGTTAAATGTGAAAAGAGGGGGATTACTAAGCATTTATCTGAAAATATAACTAATGCCATTGAACCATAGTCAGATCCCCCCTCCATGCTAGTAACAGTAGGAGATGTCTTTCCCCACCTCTCGCTCCACAAGACAGTCACAGAGTGATGTGTTGGCATTCATTTTAATTTTTAAAAGGTTGAGAAATGAATGGACAGACATATATATGCATTAGTGATTAAAATAAATAGTGTATGCCAAGTTAGACAAGCTAGCTGAAGCCTGTGGATGGAAACAAGCCTGACAGCTAGCCAACATTCCATTTTCTGGTTTGTGTGTCTATTCCAATAATTACAAATCCAGGATGGAGCCAGATTACTGCCATTATATGTGAGAGCACACGTATACATATTTGTCTATAGAATCTGCTCACTTTTACATTTGTTAACACTGAATCAACAACAACAGAAGTGCAATGTTATACACTACATTAAAAAAGAACTTGAATACTTGAATACTTCAATACTTCAATTGCAGAACGATGAATAAGTAATGTGTGGGAAAACAAATAATTGAAAACATTACTGCTGAATTGCCACCTCAATTTGGATCCCCAAGACAAGATGAGTTGTGGGCCTGTGATGGTCCAACTCTGAAAGAACACACAGAGATAATCATCAGGCTGCCGATGAACAGAAATTATGAAGGAAGCTATTGATGAGGAATAGTGCTTCCTCTTTTCATGAGGGTATAAATTATACATGGACATACTTCAGCCCTCCAGGTGTTTTCGACTCCAATTCCCACAATTCCTAACAGGAGGTAAGCTGGCTGGGATTTCTTGGAGTTGAGGTCCAAACACCTGGAGGACTGAAGTTTACCCACACTTGGTTTAGACACCTTAATAACAATAAGTGGCATTGATCATAATTCATCTATATCTATGAAGATGCCAATTCTCATAAAATTGGTTCTTGACATTTCTGGAT